CAAAATGGGTGTACAATCAATACATAAGTGAGTGTGCTTTCGACTATGTCGTCGTCGTCATCATAAAATCTTGGGGTTAGTAAATCTTCACTTATAACAGCCTTTCTGTTCTAACTTTCACGTCGTAGGAATTACGGTTTTCCGTGGTTGTCTAGCTTCAATTGACTCATGATCTCAACTGTTGAAATTACTACAATCTCCACAAAACCCCTTCTGATACTAATCAACCGAAGCTCATTAGTGACTGACTTCAAGAGGTATATCCTGGAGTTCTAGTGAGAAGTAGTGACCAGTGGAGTTCAACCAGGTCTGTTGTGAGATAGTAACTCACTGAAGACAATGGTGGATGTGTCGCTCAGTTTCGTGGATTAGTTGAAGTTAGACATTAACACCGTTGGATGCCGGCTCAGTGGTCTAGTTGGTTAAGCGCCTGGCGCGAAACTGATAGGTCCTGGGTTCGAATCTCGTAGAGGGCGAGGTCGTGAATGCGCACTACTGAGGAGTCCCACAATGGGACGAAACGGCCGTCCAGTGCTTCCAGGTTTTCCATGGTGGTCTAGCTTCAATTGATTCATGATCTCAACTGTTGAAATTGCGGAGGTCCTTCGTTTCGAGTATAAGTGATGAGAATTTCCGACACAACAATCAGCGATGACCTGATATAACAAGCAGCACTCAACTGACAAGTTATAACAATTTCATTGAGATCGAAAGTCATCGAATAACTTTGAATAGACATTGAGATTACAAAAAGTCTAGTTGATTATCTTTCATTCTCTTGCCTATTTATCACATTAAAAAGAATCTTCACATTTCCTAATCCGTCATAAAATTAAAAAAAATAAGAGTTGGATTACCTAGGTCAATGAAATAGTATAGTTAGATTTAGTTATCACTAAGAACAATGTTAAGAGGATTAAAGTCAGCTGATTAATTTGAACAAAAGAAAAAAACGAATTGTAAAAACGCTCTTGGTTTTTATTTTGTATTTTTGCATTAGAATTTAACTTGAATGAAGTAAATGTTTACCAAGTATTTTATTATTAGGGCCTCATTCCTACAATTGAGGAACAGATAGAACTCAAAACAACTTTCAACCAATATCAAAGTCAGAATCTTCCACACGAACGTCAACACAGTTCTACTGTGCGGAGATGAAACTTTAAGAACTACTACAACCATCATCAAGAAGGTACGAGTATTTATAAATAGTTGTCTACACAAGATACTCAATATTCATTGGTCAAATACCATCAGCAACAGCTTACTGTGGGAGAGAACAAACTAGCTTCCTCTTATTACATACACACGAACAAATGCAGATGAAAACAACTGGTGAAGCAGCAGCCTCTGCATCAGCAGGCTTCAAAATACACAAAGGGAAATGCAAGATCCTCAAATACAACACGGAGAACACCAAACCATACATGTGCGCTAATACATCTAATTCGGATCTATGACACCGAAAGTCTTAAATCTATAGTAACGATAGATTCGGTAACCACAAACGGGATGTTTTTACCCTAGTAACAGACCTTAGTTTAACAGTCAATCGCTTTAAAGACTTGAACTATTTCATGGATTGAATACCTTTAGTTTTGCTCCAAACTACTCCAACAACACCAAATTTCACAACTCGAGGAATACCGGCTCAGTTTACCAGTACGTTAAGCGTTCGCGCTCCAGACTGAAGGTCTTGTGTCGGAATCCCACAGGTGGGATCATGGATGCGCACCGTTGAGAAATCCCTTAAAAGGACAAAAGGGTATTCCAGTGCTTCCAGGTTTTCAACGGTGATCTAACATCCATTTGTTCATGATCTCAATCAACAATCAAGGAAAGCTGGCTTAAATCACTTCATTATATTTCTTCTATTTGAGATGTTAGTTCTTCTCTCATGACTTCATCTTTATGATTGGTACTTACACTAATGAAGAATCATATACTTTAACCAAATCGATTAGTTGGAGAATTTTTCTAAACCAACTACTTCCTTTCCATACTGTCATAGATTCATTCATCTAAGACTCATAAGGCTATTTATGTCATTTATAATTTATGAGTAATAAAATGAAATCAAGATGATTTGTTTAAGTAATTAATTTGAAATATTCAATATTTAAAGTTTCTGTTTATGTATTATTGTAGTGTGTGCTACTGATGTCGACAGATATAAGTAGTATGTATTGTCATCCGAAAGTGAAATACCTGGTGACAGAAGGCTAAATAGATCGAAGAAAAGAGAACAAGAACGGAGAATGATTGCTGTAGAAACGAAAGAACAATGATATCCGCATTTGTGTTCTCGTTCACTACATTATTACTGTAGTCGAATGTTAACGTTAACACTCACCCATGTACGGCTCTAAATGTTTTATTCCATAAAGATTAGCTTTTATTTCATATAATTCATATGTGTTTGTTATTTATTTTCATCATTCATGTTAACTGATTTCATCAGACTGTTGCTATATATGGCATAATTTTAGCTCATATCCGTATAAGCTACTAATAACACGTTTTAGTAGCTTGATAATTTAGTCTGAACTATTTGGGTGACACAGATGGATAGTGGCCAGCAATGGAATCCACGACGTTCACCACTTCGTCCTATTTGGGACTCGTCAACTGGATGTATCTGCATCTCAGAATTGATGTTCACACTTGAAATCGAACTCAGTACCTTTCGCTTGAAATGCCATTTCATTATCCACTTAGCTACTGAGTCCTGATAACCACTTGCTTATGTAATAGGGTGAAGTTTGAGTTGATTTGGTATTGTTTGTTTGAATCTTCCCATTGATGTTTAGGACTACTATCACGACTCAGTAGCAAAGTGGATAACGCGATGGCATTTCATGCGAACGGTATTGGGTTCGAATCTCAGAGTTAACATCAACTCTGAGATGCACGTACATCCATCTGACGAGTCACAAATAGAAAGAAGTGTTGCGCGTCCTGGATTCCACTTTTAACCACTATCCATCTTTACATATAATCTTTGTGCATTAAGGCGATATTGAGGCAAATAAAAACGTTTATTCATTACTTATTTGTTATCAGTAATACTTCAATTCATGTCATTCGATGATAATAATTACCAATAATATTAAACAGTACAATAAAACTAGCTTTAAAAAAAACCTTAATTAATGGACTATTAACTAATCATAATTCAGTAGTATATAATGAATGTATTTAAGAAACAAAGCAAATGGATATGAATCAGAACAAATAGATGAAGCATTACTGTTACATTTAAACCGGAAATCATCATGACTTGGTAACAAGTAGTGTATACTGTGAATTTGAGAAAAAAAAACAATGTTTCAAATCATTAAATGACAATGACCTATTATCATTCTTGATTTATATTTTTAATGGCCTGATATCTGACTTTAGTTAGATCGGATGAATGATTGTTACTTGAAATAGAACGCATGCAGCCTATCCATGTATAACAATCATCAACTTAAATTGTGCTAATGTATAACGAAATGAATGGATGTTTGAATATGTATATTTTGTACAGTAAATAACATGCAGTGAAGATGGCGAGTGATCCAACTTGATGTAACCAAGCGTAATACAATATTTATGTTCAGACAAAAATAAGTTATAGACACATCATGAATAGAGTAAGTGATTAACACACACACCCACACCCACATACGATCATATTAAAACACAGTCAGTATGAATAGGCGAATAATTAATAAGGTCAAAATGTGGCATGAAAGGAATGAATAGATT